TCTCTGTGGTTCTTCCTCTCTCTCTCTTTTCTCTCGTGGTTCTTCTCTCTCCTCTTTTCTCTGGTTCTTCCTCTCTCGTGGTTCTCTCTCTCTCTCTCGTGGTTCTTCCTCTCTCTTTTCTCTCGTGTTCTCCTCTCTCTCTTTCTCTCGTGGTTCTTCCTCTCTCTCTCTCGTGGTCTCTGTGGTTCTTCCTCTCTCTCTTTTCTCTCGTGGTTCTTCCTCTCTCTCTTTTCTCTCGTGGTTCTTCCCTCTCTCTCTTTCTCTTGTGTTCTTCTCTCTCTCTTTTCTCTCGTGGTTCTTCCTCTGGTGGTTCTTCCTCTCTCTCTTTTCTCTCACTTCCGAAAAACCGCTGTTGACATAGAGGAATGGGATTAATATATGAAGGTGCTTTTTATGGTGTGGAATGTGGCATATTTGTAGATGGAGAGAGAGAGAGAGAGACAGAGAGAGAGAGAGAGAGAGAAGAGAGAGAGAGAGAGAGAGAGAGAGAGAGAGAGAGAGAGAGAGAGAGAGAGAGAGAGAGAGAGAGAGAGACTGAGAGACTAAAGAGTAGAGAAAAGAGACAGCCAGAGAAAGAGAGAGAAAATTATACTGAAAGAGAGAGAGAAAGAAAGAAAGACGAGAGTGCGAGCGAGAAAAAGAAAAAAGGAGAAACACAAAAAAGGAGAGGAGGAGGGCATAGAAATAATAAGACACAAAAAAACTGAACCAGACATACACAGGATAGCTTTATCTTCGGTGCACAAATTGCCCTCCAGATGAGTCGGTTTTGCGGTGTCCTTCGTAACCTCCTTCGTTGTAGAGGTCGGCGCTCAGGTTACTGATGAAGATATCGACGAAAGGAGGAGGAAGGAGAGAAGGGAGGAGTGGATCAGAGGAGAAAGAAATAGAGGGAGTGAGAGTAAGAGAGGAGAGAGAGAGAGAGAGAGAGAGAGAGAGAGAGAGAGAGAAGAGAGAAAGAAATAAGGGAAGAGAGGGAGAGAGTGAAGAGAAAGAGAGAAGAGAGAGAGAAGGATAAAGAAAGAGATAGGAGAGAGAGAGAGTGAAAAAGAAGAGATAAAATAGAGAGAATGATAAAGAAAGAGGGAGAGAGAGAGAAAGCGAGAAAGAAAAAGAGAGAGAGGGAGAGAAAAAGAAGAAGAAAGAGAGAGAGGGGAGAAAGAGATAAAGAAACGAGCGAGGGGGATATACAGAGAAATAGAAGAGAGAGTTGGGAGAAAGTAAGGAAAAAAGAGAGAGAGAGAAGAGAGAGAAGAGAGAGGAAGCGAGAAAGAAAGAGAGAGAGAGAGAAAGCGAGAAAGAAAAGAGAGAGAGAGAAAAGAGAAAACGAGAAAGAAAAAGGAGAGAGAGAGAGAGAAAGAGAAAGAAAAGAAGAGAGAGAGAAAGAGAAGAAAAGAGAGAGAGAGAGAGAGAGAGAGAGAAAGAAAAAAATAGAGATCGAGAGAGAGAAAGAGAGAGAAAGAAAGAAGAAAAGAAAACAAGAGCGTTCCAACAACACCCTAACTTATTTTGATGAAAGCGGATGTTTATTTGGCTCTGTAGAAAAAAAAATGATATAATAAAAAAAATGAAAAAAAATCTGTAATTGTAGAGCGTCAAGTGAGGGCGCAGTAGAACACACAACACTGTTTATAGTAATAAAAAGAAAAAAATAATTTCCTTTCATTTTCCTAAAGTATTCTTGAGAGAGAGAGAGAGAGAGAGGGGAGAGAGAGAGGAGAGAGAGAGAGAGAAGAGAGAGAGAGAGAGAGAGAGAGAGAGAGAGAGAGAGAGAGAGAGAGAGAGAGAGAGAGAGAGAGAGAGAGAGAGAGAGAGAGAGAGGGAGAGAGAGAGAGAGAGGGAGAGGGAGAGGGAGAGAGAGAGAGGGAGAGGGAGGGAGGGAGAGAGAGAGGGAAGGGAGAGAGAGAGAGAAAGAGAGAGGGGGGAGAAAGAGACAGAATGAAAGAACGAGAGAGACAGAATGAAAGAGGAAAGAGAGAAAGAGAGAGAGAATAATCGGGAGAGGTAGAATGAAAAGAGGAATAGGAGAGAGAGAGAGAGCCAGAATTGAAAGATCAAGAGAGAGAGAGAGAGGGAGAGAGAAAAAAAAGAGAGAGAACCCGAGAAGGAGACTTCCCAGAAACCAACAAAAATGCGTACAACAACCCGAGCCAAAAACAACAACAACAACAACAACAGAACCCCAGGCACGTTTCCCAATAAAGATGTTAACCCAAACACGCAAGTTAATCCTTGTGTTTACCTTTTGCCACAAGCACTAACCACTCACCCCGGACTCTCTCCCTCTCAAGTTGTTTGTGGTTGCAAGAACTTAAATTATAACATGAGGCACAACTTACCGATTAGTTAAGGTAAATTAAGACACATTATCTCTCCCACGGCTCCGGATTATAGCAAAAATAATAAGAAAAACGAGAAAAAATATTTTTAAAAAGAAGAAGAAAAAGAGAGAGAAAATATAAGATATCGGAGCGTTTTTTTTCTTTTTTTTTTTTTTTTTTTTTTTTTACTCTAAAACACGGTGCAAGAAAACATCCCTGTGAGAATAACATTAAATTTTGAAAAGCCGTTTTAAGAGAAACACTTATATGGGAGAACATTATAGCCATTATATAATGTGAGAGAAACCTAAAATGAAAAAAAAAGAAATAAAAAAAAATATATGGAATGGGGGAGGAGGGAAACGAAGCGAAAAATTATAATCAGAAACACAACTGTGAAAATAACAAAGAATCTTATAATTGGAGAACAAAAATTGAACATGTTTCTGAAGATATTATAACACCTACAGTAATCATAATAGTGATAAGATTTTGTTATTTTGACAGTGATTATTATTATTATGCTGATATATAGTCATGACATAGGTAATGATACTATTAATAATGATAATAATTATGAAAGCAATAAAAAGGATAACAACAATAATAACAACAGCAATGATAATGATAATGATAGTGATAATAAGAATTATAATGATAATGATAAAATTAATGATGATAAGTATAATGATACCAACAATAATAATAACGGCAATGATAATTATATCAAAGTTATAAATAGTAATGAATATGATAATGATAGTGATGAAAGGTAACGAAAATGGTTATGATAATAACAATAATGATAATGATAATAATGATAATATAATTATTATCATTATTGTTATTATTATTATCATTATCAGTGTTGATAAAGATAATAATGATGATGATGATGATGATGATAATAATAATGATAATAATAATGATAGTAATGATAATAATGATAACAACAATTATAATCATTATAATAATGTTAATGTAAATAATAAAAATTCTTATGATTTCCTAATAGAATGTCTTTATACGTGTGTGTGACTTATTCAATAATATTTACGTTATAAAGGATATCCAAATTATACATAAAAGATAAAGCGAAAGAAAAAAACGAAACACAAGCAGAATCATAGTACAGAGGATGATAAAGATCCTAATGATAATAAAAATGACGAAGAAAATAATGATGATGATCGTAATAACAATAACAATAAAGATAATGATGATAATGATAACGGTAATGGAAAAATATGATAATGGTAATGATAACAGTTAATAAAAGTACTATTGTTGTTATTATTACTAATTCTTTCAATTGCAATCATATTAATGGTTAACTTCAACAATAAATATAAGAATAGTAATATTGATATTAATAACAATACAAATGATAAAAATGCGACAAGACAGAAATAGAGAAAGAGGCAGATAGATAGATAAAATAAGAGGGGGAAACAAAGCAAGAGACAATAAACCAATGCAGATATAGAGATAACGAAGTTAAGAAAAGAAAGAGGAAAATACAGAGAAGAGGAGACAAGGAGACTACAGCACCCTCACGCCCACCCACCACGCCCTCACGCCCCGGAACAACCAACTAACATCCTGTGGGCGTAAGCAAGCGAATCCTACGTCGACCGGGCTTGCGAGAGCGAAGCGCAGGGACGTTTCAAGCAGCCCGGCGGATCCCGTAGTCCGTCAGCGCCTCGTCTGCCTCGGTGGGATTCGGGCACCTGTTGCGTCGAGAGAAAGGGGAACCCCGGTTGGTCTCTCTCGCGCTGAGGACAACAAGCGCGTTCACACAGACACGCGCGCATCCTCGCTCTTTCTCGATCTCGGCTTATATATACT